ACGGCCAGAGATTTTCTAGGGCTTGGAAGCCCCTTGGTCCTTTTGTTGTTCTGTGCCAATATCTGCTGGAGATCTGTGGCCGCAGTGTCCTGTAAGCTGAGCCTGTGCTCCCCGGTTTGGGAGGTCATGCCTGAAACTTCTCTGGGCCCTAATAGGACCCTCTTGTCTGGCTGGCTCCTTGGACTCAAGGTCAAGAGCAGTGTAAACGTGCTTGGACGGTGATAAGGAAACCAGAACGGTGCAGACCTCCCCTAGCCTAGAGGAGGGGGACATGCTGGTTTTTGGCTGAGTTTGGGGAGTTAGGGTCTAGAGGGTTTGTTGGCAACAGTCTGTTCCCTGAAAGCCCCAACTCTGAGATGGTGTGCCAACCTTTGTCATCGCTCGCCTTGGCCAGGTAACGCCTGCCTGAGGGAGCAGTATGGTAGAGGGTAGACACCCATGTGGATGAGGCTTCTGTGCTGTGAAGAGATCACCTCCTGAAGGAACGAGGTGCTGTACTGTAGGTGGACAAATGTCTACACTTGGCAGAGGAGCCGGTTGGAGGCCTCCTCAGAGGGCAAGGCAGTGTGCCAAACTAGACGGCTGTGTGACGGCCGTGTGACGGTCGTGTGAGCTCGTAACAAGCGCAGCTGCCATCAGTCCTGACCTGTCACCGCTTTGCTGAGACCTCAAATGATTTCACCTCTCTGTGCCTGTTTTTCTGTAACCTAGAAACTCACCTCTCTCACACCGCTAAGACAGTATGTGTCAGTAGCTCCTCAGGGCACCTGGTGTTGGAAGTGCTTCGTACCTACCTCCTGGTGTTCTTACTGCCAGACACGGAAGCCGGCTGCTCCCGGTCCGCCCTCCGGGCCTGCCACTCAGGGCTGATGGAGGGGACTTTGCCCGATTCCATGCTGGAGATGTCCAGGCCTAACCTTGCTTGTTTTGTCCTATCTAGCTCTCACGTCTCCCCACTGGGATGCAAGCCCCAGGCCACTGCAAGTCTCCCAGGAAAAACTGTAGTGACAGAGTCCATGAGAACAAGAATTTGTGTCTCTCTGCGCTGGAACTGTAGGGAGTGGTTGAGTTTTGGAAGAGGTCCACTGAAGCCCGTGGCTCCTAGTGGGCCCTGACTTTGTCTCCCTTTGTGCAAAACCAGAGCTGTTAATTGCACATCCATTAGTTCTGAGGCCATGAAGCTTTAGAGCACTGCTCCCCAGCAGGGCGCACAGCTCTACCAGGTCCGTGGGTCTCTTCGATCGATTCACTTTTACTTCACTTTATCCTAGTCACTGCCCACCAACTTAAGCGCTGAGCATCCTCTCACGTGGCGGAGGGCTGTTAAAAGGTTGCTGGGTCCCATTCCAGGGTTTGTGGTGTAGTAGGTATGGAACTCAAGAACACGTATTTCTCATATTTCTAATTTCCTAGGTGATGCTGTGGTAATTTGAGAACCACTGTCCTATGCAGTCACATTGCTAGTGGGCTTCTTGTAATATAGAACACAGAACTGTAGGTGATAGCCGTTCCTTCTGAGAGCATCACAAATGCTGTGGATCATGCTGAGAAACGCTGCCTTTGAATTAAACAGAGGGCACCTCTGCTCCCCTGGAAGACTGCTGTGCATGCTCAGAGCCAGTCCGTCCTTGGGACTGAAGGGAGTTTCCTGCGGAGGATCAGAGCCAAGGGTGAGGTGTTCACGCGGCTGGGGGTTTGGGGCGCACAACCTGCGGCAGTCGGCCCAAGTCTGCCGCCCCCACCCTGCCGCTCCTCGGGAGGGTCTTGCAGCCTCTCTGTCCGGGATGCTCAGCGGGCACCACAGTAGCAACTTCTTCCCTCCTTCTAGCCTGAAATTTGTAGTCCTGACAGAGGCGGCTCTCTCCCTCCATTTGGGATCTCACCAGTGGGGCTGCCGGCCTTCCTGAGACACTCAGCCTGCTCTGTGAGGGGCAGGACCTGGTGGATGCTGGGCTCTACCTCCCTTTGCCCTGTGGACCCGCCTGGGAGACAGATCAGGAGGTCTTCTCAGCTGTTTGCTGCAGAAACCCAGCTACCTGGGAGCAGTCATCACATCCCCTCTAGGCTCAGAAGGGTTGACCCTAACTTCTCACGAGGAGATGGACCTTTTTCCGGTGCAAGGTAAATATGCTGCTTTTCTCCTAATGTTTCCCGCTTCCCCATTAAATGGTCTCCTTTTTGCAAAACTGACCTGCCTATTGTGGCTCTTTCTTCATATGGACAGTGCTTCCCTACTGCCACATTTTTCTCTCACATCGTCTAATTGAGAAGGGAGAAAACCCAGAAATAGGTAAATGACTTCATTAGTTTATGACTGCCTTCTCCAGCCACAGGTGAGCATTTCCAAAACAGCCTTTACCACCCATTATGCAACAACCCCCCAGGGCCAGTGTGTTCCTGTAGCTGTAACCAGGGCTCCTTAGGTCTTTTGGAGAATCCACTAGAAATGACCTCAAGTTATTTTCAATGGGTCCATGAAGCTCCTTTGCCCTATAAAAGAGCAGCCCCTCAGCATACCCCAGGATGGCCCAAGGGCCAGTCTTGCAGTCACACATCTGGGCCAAACAGTACTCAAGTACGGATTCTCACTTTCTCCCCTTTCAAAGAGACCTACTTTATCTAAAGCCCAGCAGACAGGGACTACTGCACAGGACGGAGCACCCTGTCCTGTGACCCTGGAGTTACCTTATCACTGATACTAAGGAGCCAAGAAACAGTGGCCAAAGTAGAAGATAAAAAGAATAAAAAAATGTCATTACTGGGGGGAAAAGAAAGAAGAGAACCACCTAGGAGGATACAGGAAGTGTGACCTTGATTTTTATTTTTCGTAGCAGGGAGGGTGATCTGCCAGTGGAGGAGACGAAGAACTAAAGGCCTAAAGGCCCCAGGAGCTGAAAACCGGAAGGCAGGCTGCCACTCTGTGACCACGCTGTGTAAGCGCCGGATTAAACCCAAACTGGGTACAGCACAGAAGTGTGGGGGGAGCTGTGCCACAGCAACTGGCCTGAAGCTTTCCACAGGGCAGGTGCTTAGTAATCCCACCGTCAGGAAAGAGAGAGACTCACGTATAAAGAATGTTCACTTCAAGAGTTTATCATTTCCAACAGTGGTTATAATTATTGTTAAATGTTTAAAAAGCATATCAAATCATAAATGATCTCAACTCTGTTAGAGGGAAAAGCCAAAATATTTGAAGGTAGGTTTCTGTGTTTACCAAGTTTCCAACAAAGAAAATACATTTATATCAGAAATGTTATTTTCTAAAAATCAAGCTGTTAAAAGGGGAGATGTGCTCAAACAGAAAGAATCTGTGGATGCAGCAGGAGGCTCTCATGAGGAACTCTGCAGGTTAGATACATTTCTCCCCTGTGTCTAAAACTACCCTGAGCTGGGACTCTTCTGGAAAGTCTTCCCCCTCCCACCCCCGGAACCACACCACCACTGGTAAAATAGGACGGTGTTCTGCAGTGCTCAGTGACAAACCCTTCCTTCCAAGGCAACCCCTGCCCTGCGCTTGCCCCCAAGCCCACCCTAAACAATCAAACAGCTGCTTTTACTTATTAGTACTTAACTCTGCATATGTTCTCTGCTTAAAGTATGTCTTTTTTACATCTTACAACCATCCTGAAGGTGATTTTTCTCATTTTTCAGAAGAAATCAAAGTGGAGAGGCTGAGTCATTTGCTGAAGGTCATACATGTCACGCGCAGAGTAATTCAAACCCAGGTTGGCCCAATCTCAAAGTATGAATCCAACTCTTTAGATCCAGAAAGAATTGGCATCACCACTGAGAAAGTCACTAAGACCTGTCAGAAACTCACTACATACCAGCTCTTAAAATCTTTAAAAGCTAGGTAAACTAAGATGATGGAATGAGAAACTTCCATTTAAAGCATTTTTAAACATGAGAATTAATGATCTGTGCCAGAGTAAAGGATAGGAAAGGTATCAGTCTTTCTGTTCAGAAACTATTTTAAAAGGCACATTTACAAAGACAAATCACCTTCTAGTTGTTTTAAGAAGGAAAAAATTCACAACCTGCTCAGTCCTCCGAGGCTAAGATGCTGAAGCAAGGGTTCTCTGCAACAGAATGTGCCGTGTGTTTACCTGACTGTTCACCAAGAGCTCTACCTGATCGTTGCCAGACAGGTGCTCTCGGAGCTTACGTAATAAGCAGCAAACATAAGTCATCACCACCGACTGTTTTCCACTACAGATTTTTTACCTGTATTAAATTATACTTCAAAAGTAGATCCCAGTAATATCTCAATATCCTGCCAGTGACCACTTAAATAGTGATATATGATTTAATGCTTCCATTACTATGTCAAGACAAACAAAAATGAGTAGACTGATACAACACTTAGACTGATTAAGCTGGAGGGTTTCTCTTGCCAACACTACAAAAACAGCATGTGAAGAAAAAACATTCAAGTCAGGTGCCTGAATTTTGAGAGAGATCACTGATGTGTGCAGAATGAGATTTCAATTTAATCTGCACTGAACGGACAATTCCAGCAGAAGTAAACTATGCCTCTCAATTGAGATAGTCTGATTACTCCTTAAAAACCAGCTGTTCTAGAACCTGCCCAGGCAGCCTTGTTTGCTAGCATATACCCACTCTCATGGCTCATCCTAGACCTCAGGCTGTACTCTGAAAAGTTCCAAGTAACTGCCAATTTGCAGATAAGACAGACACTCTCAAAAAGGGCAAATGTCTACGCTTTCTAATGTACTCAACAGCCTTGTGAAGCCAGGAAGGGCATCTCTCCCCAATCCACAGAGGGAACCATCCGGCCCAGAGTTCATGCTGCCACCTAGAAATGGGTCCAGAAAAGTTCTAATAGATAAGCCCCAAACCTTCATTAATGTTCCCTTTTCCCTGGTAAGGAAAGACTGAGTTTGAATTTCAATTATTTAAAGAAATTCATTATAGTAGTATTAGCACCAAAAACCTGTCTTTAAGATATTCTTAGACACGTATTTGAGGGCTTTTTAAAAAAAAAAAAAAACTTCGGATTAGATTTAAAACTATGAAATGTGCATTTCTTGGCAAGTTACACCAGTGATTCTTTACTTATTCACATTTCCAATAAAAGCTTATGGAAACAGACAAAAATACAAAAGAGAGAAACACAAATGGCAATGCCTCAAAACAATTTAGTAACAGAAAAAAGTCTCCACGCTCAGTGTCCATCAGAATTTTAAAGTTATCCCAACAACAGTGCAAATGCTCAACTCATGATCATATACTGAACTAATACTTGTCCCTGGAAGCTGCAAACTGGAAAGTCACCCACTTCTATTCATGATCACACAAACCACCTAATTTGCTCAAGGTTCAGCTTAAAGCAACATTTAATATTCTTTACAAGATGGAATTTGTGACAAGTTCAAAAGAAAAACTTGCTTTAATGCAGCTGTGCTCAGACGTCTATGTGATTTCCTCAGAAACCACTGTTGGCTTAGCCAATCTGGAAAACGCAGTTCAAAGCAGTGTCACACTGGCCGCCTGAAGGTAGCCTTGGAGATACTGGAGCGCTTCCGCATTGAGGCTGGTGCTCACCATCGAGGGAACCTACAATAGATGGGAAACATGCCGGTCCTTGGAGATCTTAATAAACCAACACAAGCCCCATCTTCTCCAGAACTGCCATGTCTTGGGAAGGGCAATCCATCACCAGTGACTCTTGCAGAGATTCTCAAGGATCTCAATTGCTTTACACCTTCAGAACTGGATAGGTCTAAAAAGCAGATCCATAAGGAATTACTGCTGTTCAGTGTGGTAGTGGCATTGTGGGGATTAAAAAAAAAAGTCCTTATTGGTGAGCAATGCATAATTAAGGACATATAGGTGAAATGACATCATGCCCAAGACGAAACACATGCAACAAGAATGGCAGAATACTGGTACTTTTTGAAGGTCTATATGTGAAGGTTCATTATGCTATTTCTATGTGTTTGACGTTCTCCATAATAAAACATTGAAAAATATACATTTTCTCTGATAATCTAGAAGACTCTGTAAAAGGTGCTGGATAATGCAACTCTACAGCCATTATGTTTACTCCATGATCCAATATTTGAGTATGTTGCAGTTTAAAAAAAAAAATGCCTACATTTTAATAGAATGATTTCAATCTGGGAAATAAATACATTTCTATTCAAAGGGTTTTAGAGTGCCTTGGCTGGCTCAGTTGGAGCCAGCGACTCTAGATCTTGGGAGTTTTAAGTACAAGCCTCATGTCAGGTGTAGAGATTACTTAAATAAATAAATAAAATTTAAAAAGTGTGTGGGGGATGTGTGAGCGGGTTTTATCCCCCGCTTTGTCCTTATTCCAAAAGTCATTTGCTTAAAATCTACTTCTAGCACATCATTCTAATGAAAGAAAATTAAGGCCTAACTACAGGCACCAGCATAACTACTACCTTCTGGCCTTCCCAGAAAGGGGTCCATTAGTCAGAGTTCTTGGACAACACACTTACCCTTCCTGGACAGGCAGTAGACAGCTTGTGAAGTGACTGTGCCAGGTGAATTTTGGGATTGTTCACCATCTGACCTACAGGATCATGCTCTTTTTTCCCCGCAAATGCCAACTGTGAGAAGGCGGTCTGATACCCTGGTGTATCTTCTATGTCAATAAAATGTTCTTCATCAGGAATGGTATCATCTTCAGGTAACTCAAAAAGGCCAATCAGAGACTGTAATAAAGGAGTCCTGGATTTGAAGCAAGCAAGCAGACAAAAGATTAAGTGAATACTTCTGAAGATCTAAACAAAGAGCAGCAATTCCTCAGAGACACAAATCATAGAGGCACAGTCTCAAGAGCTGCAAGGGACCTTTGAAATGGGATGGACATCAGTTCTTACAGCTATCCTCCAAAACCACTCTTAACTTCTTTTTGGCCACAGCACGCCAATTTCCCTTTTGGAAACTACTCCATCCCCAGAACTGTCCAGCTGGCTGTGTGACCCACTGTGTCACATGTGACTGAAGCCATGTGACTGAAGCCAAACCAGAGATTCACTACTGCCAGAAGTTAGTTAGAAGAAATAGGCCTCGAATCATCAGATCCTTTTCTGGAAGAAGGTGCCTGAGTGAACCCAAAATGAGGCAAGGTTCCTGAGAGCAAGAGGTCTAGAAAAGCCAGGAATACCAGTCATGGAGCACAAGCACATAAGACCCTCTTTTAGCCCTATTCAATTTCTCCACTTGAAGATTTAAGCCAACTAGTTGAGTGTCATCATAAACATTCCTAGAGATCATGTAGACCAGCGACTTTCACCAGATTCTCAAAGGGGGCACATGAACCCCCTACAATAAAGTTAAGAATCAGGAAACATCTTTCTAGACCCAGAAGGACCCACAAGTCCTGTCTTGGATCTGATGGTTGCTAGTGGAGAACCTGAGATCAGAACCCAATTCTCAGCCCTCGGGAGAATAAGCTTGTTTAGTTTTGCAGTCATAAGGGAAGGAAGCTGTAATTCCCAGAGTTTGGAGCACTACTTACCATAGCTTGGTATACTCTGTGTCCATCATTGGGGGACATTCTGTTAGTAATTTCGTTATGCCAACCGCACAAATCTTTTTCTCTACGTTTCCAGATACTTTCTGAATTTCAGGAATAATGATTTTTTCCAAAACCATTCCAAACATTCTATTAAAATAAAATATTAGACTATCACTATAATTAAACTGTGAAATGCTTAGATGTTATTTACACTGACTCCTTAGGAATATAATAAAGTCCAAAATAATAGGGCTACTATTTTTGGTCAACTGAATGGCAGAGACCTAGAGATGACAAAGCAAAAATGAAACCTCAAACTTTGGCCCTGTGGCCAAGCGCTGCCAACAACTTCTGTGAAATACTAAAGTCTGTGCTCATGTGGAATCTTCAAAACCACTTTTCTATCACCTTTTTTTTAATTACTCAAGAAATCTTTGAAAAATTAGAAATAATAAAGAGAAAGAAGAAAAAGAATTACCCATCACCCCACTATCCAGTAATAACTAGTTTTAACATTACTGGATTATAAACTTCCCAACTTCCTATACTTACGTACCTATAAGGATATAAGTGTTAATGGCTATATTATAAAAATTATTTAGCCACCAATCTAAATGTTGTTGCAAACATCCTAAGAGCAATACCAAATGATGTAAAATCCTCAGTTTCTACTTCACTAAAATTACCTGAAGTGGAAATAGTGGATATCAAAGATACTGGACATTTTTAATACTCTAGGTATTATTTTTTGCTTTATAGAAAGATCATACCAGTTTACCCACTAGCAGTTAATGAAACTGATTTCCTCACAAATCTCTACAGCTGAAAAGCATATTTTCTGGTACTACTTTTTCAGGCTAATTCATTTTTTTCATCTCAATCTGGAATTTTTTTGATATAATACCAATACGGGGATCTCACTTGAGTTTTTTTCTCCAAATTGTTCTCTATCATTTCTTTCTATCCTTCCTTTCCCTATGAAATGGGAGATACCATCTAACTACATTCTTTGTATGTACACTAAGTAAAAAGCAAAGACTTTCATCTGAAAAATCACACTACTGGCCTTAAAGGCAGGCTCCTGGAGACACAACCCCAACCATCCAGAACCACATAGAACACCGGCTGTGTAGAAGGCGGGGGCGGGAGTTAGAAAAATGTTTGCAGGGATTTTCTTCTTTGCAACTCAATAGTCCTAAGAATATTTTCAAAACCAGAAAGATACTGTAGCTCCACCAAGAACTGTAAAACCATCTATAAAATAGAAATACTGGTTTGTGCTAAAAGAGGTCAATTTTTTTCGCTTTAAAAAACAAAATACAGTAAGTAATAAAAACAAACTTACTTTGGTTGTATGCCATCAAATATTTCTTGCAGTGCCAGCGCCCCATATTTTATGCAATACAAATTAATAAAGACTAAGAAGCCTGTTGAAAGGAAATGCAGAATATCAATACAGAGGCCTCAGTGCACTAAACAAGTGATTCAGCACAAGTCTGCCACGTCAAATAGTCATAATTATTAAAACCAATGGGTAACTTTGGGATCAATATTCCCTTTATTATACAATTAACATATAGTACAGACAAAAAATATTTTGATATCTAAACTCAGAAACTAACCTTTGGAACACAATATATTTGAAAGTGACTTAATATTTGGAGAATACAAACATCTTAAAATATTTTATAGAATTAAAACTGATAAAACGTTTATATGTAACCATAAAGGCTAAGGGTTTTAGCTACTTTCCTTCATTATTTCTGTAAGAAGGGCCAAACGATTTTATTTTTTTTTTAATATTTTATTTATTTGACAGAAAGAGCGAGCATAAGACAGGGGGAGAGGCAGAGAGAGAGGGAGAAGCAGGCTCCCCACCAAACAGGGAGCCCAATGTGGGGCTCGATCCCAGTACCCTGGGATCATGACCCTAGCCAAAGGCAGACACTCAACCGACTGAGCCACTTGGGCGCCCCAATTTTACTTACTCTTGATAAACTTTGTTGTTTTGGAATTCTGAAGTCTTTGGAATAGTAGAATGAAGATTTGCTTCCTGTACTGATCAACTGACTCACTAAAGAAGTGAATGAAACCAACAATGTATCAAGTCAGCATCTTCTGAGTACCCAACAGTCTTTGAGTAATCTATACAGTGAGGGTTCTACTCATACTCACGGAGGCATGTGCTCTATTATACTGTTTAGAAGATAAAAACCTTGGTGGTCATTGGCTTTGGATGCAATTAGCTTCTGGAAGACACCTAATAACCCAGGCTACAACAAATTAGATCAAATAATATTCCGTTAAAGAGGCAAGGATTAACTGTTCCAAAAGTTACACTTTAAGCAGGTGATGTTTTGGAAAACGGTGCATGCTATAATAATTAGCGTTTTTGCTTTTGTTCCTACTTCTGAAGTGTAGAGAGAAAATATCCCATCACAATAAGCCTTAAAGTTCTTGAAATTAACCTATTTGGCTCTATTTTTTTATTTCCTACCATGGAGATAATTAAAGGATACCTAATTGTAGCAAAATATACATTAATATTTTCTAGTAACCACTTTGTTACATTTAAGAATTTTTAAAACTCTGCCATCCTCAGTTTCTCTCTGCTACCTTACAAAATGACAGTGACATCAAAATAAATCCCACTCACAATTTTGTCAGCCGCAGCACTTGCTATCGTGTTTGAACCGCGTTCTAAGAACGCTTGGAGAAGCCTCACTAGAGCAGGGATATTTCCTGTTCTTTCCCAAAGCACTGGCTGAAGGAGATGAGGAAATAAGGCCATATAAGAAGACGGGATATCATTTTTGTGTGTTTCCAGAAGCAAAGACATCACTTGAAAGACGTATGGAATAAATTCTGTTGATAAAAGTAAAAACAGAGCTGTCAGCTTCATAACTAATGGCTCCCACAAAAAGGCACATACCTCACAGGCAGGTTCCATTTTATTAGCCACTTTAATAGTTTTATTCAGTAAGAAAGAAAATAACTCCTTTTAACTTACCTTGTACATCATTTTGTAAAATTTCAGTAAACACGAGAAACAAAGCCTCCTCAAAATTTACAACAGCAGCAGGGTTAGCTTTACAAGTTATTCTTATGGACAAACATATTGCTTCAAACATGTAGTGATTAAAGTGAGGTTTGCTTGGGTTCTGAAATTAAAAACAGAAAGCTTACCACTCTCCAATAATCCAAGTGACTATAGTAAATATCTAAAATAAAACACACACACCAATCCCTTCTAAAACACATTGAGAGGCCATCTTTTAAAAAAATCAGTACTAAAAAAAAAAAAAACCTCAATTACACTTGCCTACATACATGTTAAAGTTTTATATGGACTTTAAAATTCAGAAAATAAAACAATATTCACTAATGCCTATTTCTTTGTATTTTTTTTAATGGGCAAAAGTCCACTATGAAAAATAAGTCAAGTCACAGGAAGAGGACTCCACGAGCTTCAGTGTTCCCAGTGCTATAAGGAACTTGTCTGAAAGCCACGTGCTCTCCCAGAGCCAACCCTGTAAGCAGTGCTGGAAGAAACGAGCAGGGACAGGTATGACCAGGCTGTGCCTCTAGACTTGTGTGGGACCTTAGGCAAGCCTTAACCTCTATGGGTCTCAATGTCTGTACCTCCAGAGTGACACTCCTTTCTATCAGTGGTTTTCAATTTTTAAAGCAACATAACCCTATTTTCCATCAAACAAAGTCCTTCTTGGAAGGCTACCATATGAAGTTGATGAACTTAGAAGTTTGGGGTGGGGGACAGCAGAAGACCCAAGGTCTCTTCTCTTCTCAATCCCCCAAGGCCCAAAGCAGTCCAACACCCTTACCAGAACTCAGTGGGAAAATGATGACTGTTCTCCAAAGTCCCTGTAATAGTTCTATACATTTATTTCCTTTCCGTAGAGTAATTAGGAACAGGCATCTCAAAAAGAATTTTGGCATGGGGTGCCTGGGTGGCTCAGTCGTTAAGCGTCTGCCTTCGGCTCAGGTCATGATCCCAGGGTCCTGGGATTGGGCCCCGCCATCGGGCTCTCTGCTCTGCGGGAAGCCTGCTTCTCCCTCTCCCACTCCCCCTGCTTGTGGTCCCTCTCTCGCTGTGTCTCTCTCTGTCAAATAAATAAATAAAATCTTAAAAAAAAAAAAAAAGAATTTTGGTAGCCTTAAGCGGACTTTTATTTTCTAAATCTTAGTATTAATAAATATGAAATCAAAATATCTATAAAATTTTTGATCAAAGGAATGGACTTTACTTGGGGCAAATTAGAGTAAAGGAGCCAAGACACAAGGGACTACATTTTATAAAAGTCTGAGTAGCCTTTTTTTTGTCCACTTGGTACAGAGCCTGCTTTCCTCCACCTAAGATCATTTCAGATCAATTATCTGTACTTTTTCAATTGTAGTCAATGAAACATGTTACTTTTTAAATGAGAATTCAAATGAAACATTTTAAAGTTTCTGGACCTACACTTACAAAGGCAAGTGCTGTAATGTCTCCAATTTAATACCTCCCCACACTTTTAAAAGGTACTTAACTGTTGGTCAGGAAGAATCCAGAGAACTTTTCCTAAGCCTGACCCACTGCCAGAGAGTTCTGAGGCTCAAACAGTTTGAAGCGTAAGTTAAAAAGCAACCACACTCTTACAACTGGTCTTGTTACCTTACTAACAGCTAAAAGCTTCTGTGTAAGCTGAGTGATGAGGGTGGGGATGTAGGGGATTATGGCTTCTTGTAGGAGGGAAAAACTTCTCATGATAGCTGTAAAATATAAAAAGAGCAAGAACAGTTAAAATTCACAAAAAAACAGTGATTATGAAAAAAAAAGTCCACAGACTCACCAACAAAATTTTAAGACCCTTAAGCAACCCCCAGATAGCTCCCTATAAACAATCTAAATATCCTTTCCTTTCAAAATTATGCCAAGGACTGATAACAAAATTTAGCTACTTTCAGAAAGCCTAAGGCTTAAAAGAAAAAAGGGACAGTAAGAAATAATAAGTGACTAAAGAGGCAAACACTGAGCAGGAGGAAGGGGTAGAATGACAGGAGAAGGGGAAGGGGGGCAGTAGGTGGAAGACAGTACAGTTTCCAGTCTCTTCACTTAGAAAATCAATGGCAGGTAATGTTTAGCCCTAGCCTAATGGACACATCACAGCCTACCAAAAACTGAGAGAAGACCATCTGTTCATCTCCCTCCAAAAAGAGAGATTAGGAGCCCAAGAAAAATCTAAAAATACACATAAAGCTATGGAGGGTCCACACTATAAGAATACTGCTCATTAAGAGATGCCTAAAAACATTTGGCATGGAAGATAGATACATTATTAAGCTAAAAATGTACATAATTGTTTCTTCACAAGTAGAACAGATGTTTACCAAGTACAGCAGCTACTATGTATCAGGCGCAGAGGATAGAAAGTTATCCTCTGTTGCCCCCTAAACTTGACCAGGTTTCTTCTCCCTGAGCCAGACTCACCTTCCAGCTAGCTAACCACTGCGTATCCCTCACTCCCTAGAGAAAACTGTCCCCAGAGGATGGATCAGTGCCCCACCTCTGGGCTGGCACAGTCAGCTGACTCATCCAACAGTACTACTGAGAAGGTATGCATCCGGGTGCTCTCGCACACCCTAGGAACACAGTAATGAGACTACACGCCAGTTAACCTCACAGAAACAGACATTAAACAACAGCAGTCACGCATCACCACTGGGAGAAGTACGGTGCTGAAAACACAAATACATACCTAGATACACTCTTATCCACACATATAAACACATGTACACACAGATATACAACATACCCCAGGGGGCCTGACCCACCATCAGGGACAGTTTGTTTGAAAAGCTAGGCTGCTGGAATGCAACAGTGACTGAGTCAGAGCGGTCACCAAGACGCTCTCCTCGTGGGCGTCAGTGGGCAGGGGCCGACAGCCGCCTGTGTTCTAGGCAGTAGCTCTGCGGAGGCAGGATGCGTGTGCAGCCCAGCAAGAGCACCCGGGCTTCACGCCAAGACCTAGCCTAGCATCTAGCATGCCATCAACAAATGTCTCATCTGATCTCTGCCCTCAAGAAAGTCAATCTAGGTAAAGAAAAAGGGAGTTTGCTACTTTTTCTTTAACAAGAGGAGCTCTATATCAAACTAGGGTAAATTTTTTTCTGAAAATACCACTAAGTATAAACAAAAGATTTTCCATTTAAAAATATCTAAACCTACCTAATGCTTAGCCCACCGTATCTGGTTCATAGACTACGTAACCTGAAGTACAACTCAGAGCATTCACTCCTATAATTGGAGATGGGGTTCTTATAGTCTGTACACCAGGGAAACGGCCTACCTTTCATAATATATTCATTTTCTGAAGAGCCAGGAAGTGTGAGAGCTTTGAAAAGGTTTGTTAGCAGAATCTCAACAAACGGTGCGATTTCTGAGGCTGTAAAGCTATAGATGAAAAAACAGCTTTCAGTCACTGCCAACTCTTGAGCTGATCACTCTGGAATACCCATGGGCAACCACTAAATCACACATCTTGGCATAAAAGCTAGCCATCTCCCACCACTGACAATCAACAGACAGCTTAGGAAAGTAACTGTTTACATGTGTTCATGTGAAATTCCTAAAAAGGCACATCTGGGATCAAACACAAACCAAAATCCAGGCAAACCTGACATCTAAAGCTGTTCAGGTCACCCCTGGGTCATACCTATCATCACCGAGAACAGAGCTCAGACTCTCAGGGTCTCAGTCATCTGCTTTTCCTGGAGCAGGTGCATAAACTCTGCACTGAGTTCTGGGCCTGAAGACAGGTACTGGTTTGACTCACCTCAAAGGATGTCCTTTCAACCCTTAATTGGCTCTAAGAATATCTGCACTTCAAGTTCTTGAAGAAGAAAAGAACCTATAACTGTTTTCCATCTCTTACCCAAAGCTCAGTTTCAAGAAATAAAACTGCTGAAGAATGGCCTGAAAGACACGCAGACCGTCCATTCCTCTACATTTTCTCCTTGGCTCAGGCCAGAGAACTACTGTCTGGGACCCTAGGGAATTTATTTTCACTCAGTTGTGTCCCATCTCCACACAGGGTAATAATGCAAAAACGGCCACATAAAACAAGTTGCAAGAACACTCCCTTAATGAAGGCCCATTTCTGAGTTGCCTTCTGAGTAACTGTTTAATTTTAACCTAAAGGACACTGAAAATTTTAACTTACCAAGTTGCCCCCTATGCCTTTGTTCCAAGGAGACAGCACACAAATTTCAGGAGTTTCCTTAACTCCTGTACAGGATCCTTGGACATACATTTCTTTTTAGAATCTCACCCCATTATTTTCCTTTGCTCCAATTTCCTACTTAACTTTTTGTCATAATGTATCTATTTTTAGCATACGACCTCATCCTTTTGGACTGAGACAGAATAATTAAATGAGGGAAAAGTACACATTTATTTTTCAAACTACTAATGTCATTATGAATATAGTCAAGGAAGAACTTTGACCAGCACAGAACAGTTCCCCACCCTAAGCTGAAAAAATAGAAATTGTTTAGAATCAAATACTTACAGAGTGGTGTTGTTAGGCCCTCTCATGGTAAACAGCCTCTCAAGAGCATGTGCTGCATAAGTATGAACAACAATACTTTCAGCTTGAAGGTGATTAATCAAGAGAGGAATAGAGACTAAAAGATGTTCTTTTGGTACCTGAAAACCACAATAATATGCATGCTTTAAGTCAATGATGCAACCTTAGAAGGGCTTGCTGATTCTGGAAAGTGTGTTTTTTTCAGCTGTTACAATGGGAGACGATATGGATGAGAAATCAAAACTTCTACCTCCACGTAATGGCTCAATTCACATTCACAATTCTCTTTCTCTGAGCATTAAACTATGGTTAGAGGAAAATCTTGCAGATAAAAACACACATCATAAAATAGTAGTATAATGGACAAGCAAACTAAGATTTCATTAATATTAAGAACTACACTTTTCACTAGCAGGTATTCTTGGAAAAGTCATTTAAGCTGTCTGTGCCTCATTTTCTCTTCTAAAAAAAA